AACAACGTTATGTAGACTAAAAATTTTAAATTCGCATTCTAATACTAAACGTCACTTGAAAGTTAACAACATACTCATCCTAGTAATGTAAGTATTTGAAAATGCAATGTACAGACGGTTACATAGGTTGGAACACGCACTTAATACAACGATATGAACATTCATGTTTAAAACATGCTTTATAAACCTAGGTGACAGATTGTATTGTACCCATATAAGGCTGCACTTACGCCGACGCACTATGGAAAATATGGGTGCGTTTCGGATCAAAAATCAATAACTTTTTTGTTTCTTAAAATTATGTCTTGAAATTTTTCGTTATTGTAGAGGAATATATAAGGCTTCGAATGTGACAGTTTGGTATAAATTAGTATAATACATATTTTATTATAAAATATTAAAAATCAAAGTCCAATAAAAACGATCAATAAATGGAGTTTATTCATTTTTATGTTAGTAACTATTTATGTTTCGTAGGAATTAAGACATAAATATGCAACTCATTACCAAGATACATTAATATAATAATATGAAAAGCTAATTCTACTTTAAACAATAACTGAAAAAAAGTGTATTGAAAGTTATTAATATTAATTTAAATGCACATTAAAGGTTTAATGTACCTATTGCAATTTATACCTATATGGTTTGTATAAATATTTATTAATAGATTTTTGCCAACTAAACTTGCCGAGCTTCCGGATCTAAAATTAATTCGTTCACTTTCAAAAGATGTAGTGTATCCTCATTGAGTTCTTTAACGTATTTGCTGTATGGTTTTCTAATGCTTGTTATGTATGGATCTGATGTGTAAAGAAGAGTATGAAATACGTCTTCATTTGTGGCTGCTCGGGAGCATTTTCGGGCATGATGAAGGCGAAAGTTTTTGTAATCCTTATTACGAGATTCTTGTGCGTCTTCCGAAAGTTGACCAATCGGAAGCACTGCAAAATGCTTTATAATACTTTCTCCGTGTATTAAGATTTTGTGAACTGAGGATGGCATATAGTACCATTCATAATTACTGACATAAATCCTGGCAGTCTCCATAGCATAACTACCAAATTTTTCCGCATCTACCATCACACCTGATGAAAGTGCTTGTAGTATGTAGAGACGTTTTATCAAAGTCACATCCACACCAGTAATTTCAGCAGAGCAACTTGCATTAGAAAAAATCTCCTAGCAGTATTGCCATCATTGCTATTTCCTGTTCCTTGACATGGTTGGTCAATTATCAGTCCCAACTCATCATGAAAACGTTTCTGTACTAGAGTTTTCTTCTCTTGTTTTTGTCTTTTCTTTTCTTCAGTCGTTGCAGACCATGTTCTAAAAGAAAGATTGTAGGAAATGTGTAAAATCATCTCCATACAACGTATCCAGGCATGTAATGTAGAAAGTCCGTATTGATAACTTTCTTCATTTTCAGGCCTAGCAGTCACTCTCGTCAAATCATTCATTTGCTGTGGAGTAGCTCTGCATATTGTACATGTGGAGCCAGAAGGTGTCTCTGTTAATACTTGAGCTACTTTACCGTCTATCATTGTTAAGAAAAGTTCATGTTTTACTTGAACTCCCTCGCCTTCTCTATTAATCAAAGTTGGGATCAACGAATTTATCTGCAATTTTATGTCATCCACAACTGCTTTAGTTTTCTCAGGCGTTTCTTTGCAAAACTCTAATAATATAGGACGGCAAAAACGTACAGACGAAGGTACAGGATTTTGCCATACTACATCTCCTGTTATACATCTCCTGTTAGCTCATTAATTAATTTAATGGGTACTAAAGAAGTGATAAATAAGTTAGCATCTGATACAACTTCAGACTCTTCTGGAAGCTTCTGTTTATACTGACTTTGTCCTGATGAACCATCACATCCCCATTTACTGTAAAGAAGTAAATGTTTTAATCCATCTTTATATACAGAATCTATTCTTAAAATCCTGGCTGCTGTGTGATCTAATAAATCTTGAAGTTTTACTACTCTTGCTCCTATGTTTGTAATTTCAATAGTTGCAGATGGTGGATAGCAGGTTTGTTTAATCTCTTGTATTTTGTAATATGGTGGGAATATAGAACAGTTTCTTTCGTCTGTTAAATTTCTCAAATACAAGTATTGTGCTTTCGTTAAATCTAAGTCAATCAAAATGCTTAATGCTTCTTTGTCTATAAGCATTTTATTCTGCCTTGGATTTTCTATGAGACTCGAGATTAATATCTTCTTTTCTCTGTCAGCAAATCTTAATGTTTCCACAAGTTTTGCTTCCGTTCCTTCTTCTATCGAACGTAATCCCTGTATGTATGCATTATAAATATGCTCAAATCCATATTCATTAAGCAACACTGAGTTTTTTCTTTTCTTGCTAGATTGTGACGAGTCTGCGTAAGATATGCATGGTCTTCCACGTTTTCCAGAAGATGTAGATGGAGTGGTATCGGTTAAAACGCCTTCTGAAGTGGGTATAGTCACAGAATATTCCTAGTCCAGCCAATTGCTATTGTTCTTCAAAAACCTTTCTTTTTTCCGAGAAGCTTGCTCCCATTTTGTATTGAAAACGGGAATCATACGTCTTTGAATGTCACTGATAATGAAGCATATGTTGTCTTCAGAGATTTGATGATTTTCTTTCAAAAGAGTTGATATTGCTTCCATAGTCCTCCTTCAATATACGAAAGTATTATTTCACGTTTAGACAACTTGAAGGTAGACATTTCAATGTTAAAAAATACAATGTCTGTCCTTAACAAACGCGCGTATATTAATATCTTTTGAATCTGTAATGAACTATTATAAAATCAGCCCTTTATATACCATTTAAAAAAAAGGTTCGTGTGCAGAGTTTTGATAAATTTATTCACACACATAATGAGTGCAAAACTGATAAAGTTTGTCATAACTATGTTTTTTAATAGTAAATAACAAAACTTACCTCAAACTATCAATAGAAACGATCAACACTCGAAACCGCAGCAGATAGTGGTTTTCCGTTTCTCGGACTCTTATCACATTTGTACCAATAACTTCGAAAAGCGCAAAAAGGCGCAGCCAATTTTTATACATGTTATTATTTAATAACTAGGCTACCATTTAACATTCGAATCTAAAGTAGGGAGGACGTTGGTAAGTGTCAAAACTCTTAATCAATTTTAAAAACACAGGTTTTTGTCCTTATTTCATTTTCGATTTATTTAAACGTAATTTTTAATACAAAATATAAATAAAGTATGTTGTGAAAATCTACAAAGAATAACCTTTTTAAAAATGTATAACACTTACTAATTTCTTATAATATTTACTATTCAAATTAACTTGCAAAGATGAGTAGTGAACTCCCTCAAAAATATTTTTTCGTTCAATCATGTTTGACATTTTGTATAAAAAAACTATACGTTTTTTATGGAAAAATGCTTCTGTATAAATTAGTTGCGTCATTAAACTATAAGATAAAATTAAAAAATATATCAATAACGACATTGTTCAAAATGATTTTTGATCCGTGCTTGTTCTACCATTTTCCATAGTGCGACGGTAAAGTCGTAAAATCCTTTTTATCTACCAAAGCGGGGCGATGAAGAGCTGTACGTCATCATCAACCATCGTCATTTTGAAAATAACGAATTGTATCTTTTCCCAAAACGACTATCTCCATTCCCCTTTGGTAAATAATAGGCATGATCTTTCGGAGTTGACAACCTGCCTCGAGTCCAATCATATAACTTGTCGTGTCGAATTAATTTCTATACAAGTATTAAAACCAGTCTCTAAAAAAGAACGCGTCGTTTTCAAACCACAAGGCACACCACTTTTTGCAAGTTGAACTACTTCATGTTCAACTAAACTGATTGGGTCCTCAACACGTTAGCGGTCTCTAATTCCATAAAAAATTCACAATGCAAATTGTACGTGTCGCGTTCGGTGTGGGAAGTTCCTAAGATTGATTTAGGTGGCGTTTAGTATTTTACTGTAAAAAGCTTGTTGTAATGATAAGCTACTGCGACAGCAAGTTACCGCGAGTTTGTTACGTGATCCTTCTGTTTTAGCTATTGTCGAGATATTAAAAAAACCTCGTTTTAATATTTGCGATGTTTTATTTTGCCTTCTATTGCCATTATCCTTATTACAGACTTAATCTTAGACTGCTGCGCATGTGCCCCTGCAGTACGAACACATTTAGTTCCAGCAGCTAATAAAAGATTGCATTACGGAAAAATCTACTTTGAAGAATTCATATTTTTCTGATTCTTCAGGATTTTTTCCGGAAGTTTCCACTATTTCTTCAGAAAATTACCCAACAGTACAAATATATTCTTAGAATATACTGTCTAGTGCAGTACCTCTTAATAGTTTGTTTGTGGTCTAGACCACAAAATGGCAATCTTTCCAAAAAAAAAATCTTTGGAAAAAAAAATCCTTTTTTTTTCCAGATATTTTTCAATATTTTTTCTGAAGTATCTTTTGAAGTTACTGAACGAAAACGATGGAGCAAGTAAAAAGGTTTCTTTCCACTGTTATGAAATAATTTCAAATCTCGTTTTTCTCTAGGCGACTTTTAGGTATACAAGTTTATTTTATAAATCACGCTAAATAAAACTCCAAAAGATATTTCTAAACATAATATGATACTTCGAAATATATTTTTTAGATTTTTTTCGGAAAATTTCAACTATTTGAGTTTTCGGAAAATTACCCAACGTAAAATGTTCACACCCTGCTTAACTTTTCCTGCAAATATCAAAGATGTTGATATTTTTACGTCATAAATAATTAATTTAAATGATTAGAAAAACTAAAATCGCTCATTTTGTAATGTTTGCCAACACCTCGCACGTCAAAAGTCGTTAGTGCGCGACTGACCTAATGTATGCTGTCATTTCGGTTAACGCTTGATAATTTCTGAACGAAACTATTACAATCTCTTCGAATGATTTGGCAGGAACGGAAGAAAGTGATTTCACATTTTCTGTTTTTTATCTGAATTTACACGGTATCTTCAAGTAAGAAAAGGAAATCCCCTTTTTACATCAATTTTCTATTGTATTACATATGTAGGGTGTTAGTAAGCTCCTGCATTTACTTCGTGGACGGTTAAAAATCGACGGTAAGCATTTTCAAAGTTTAGCGCTTCGGAACCTCGCTTGGCCTTACCGTTTTGTTCATTTTTGCCATAGTTTTTATCATGTTTGTTTTGAATATTGACTCTTAGGATATATATGCTAGGGTTATATAAGTAATATTAAGGAAAATATGTTGTTTTTAAGTATATTTCGCACTACCTTGGCTGTGATTAAACGACCGATTTTAAACATAGGTAAAATATAATGTATCGTCGTGTAATTTTAGTAGGACGGTTCTAGACCGTCATTTAGGTATTGATGTCAGTGATAACGTTGCTTTACTATCTATTGTTCATTGAAATTGTTGTTTTTAATCAAAACTACTCTTTTATGGGTTAGTTCTAAGATGATTTGGATTGATAGTGTAACAAAAAGGTTATACTTATAAAGAGGTAAATTACTGTGATAATTAGTGCTAACATGTGAAGTTTGCCTATGCAAGCTTGTGACATCACGCGTGTATGCCTCAATAGTCAATTTAAGAAAAATCCCTTGGATTCTGTAGTAATACCCACTGCATTGTAAGTTGGTGTAGTTTCTTAACCAAACCTTGAATGTCAGTGATTGGAAACCTCAAAATTTTAAATTTAGGCTTCCCAGATGACCGGGAAATCCGAGATTGTCCTGAAATTTTTCTTCTTGTCCTGTGTCCAGTAATTAGATTTTACTGTTCCAAATTCCAAGCACTTAGAAGGTTTTAACAAACTTACTAGAGTCCTTTTCATAAAAGAAGTCCGCCAAATGCAGCGCTGTAGTTGTGCAAATAAATGTTGAAATATTGATTGCGAATGACATAAAAGTTTTGTAGGTGCTCAATGAGTATTAACAACTCCCAAAAGATGATAGAAAACAATGTTACGGTCATGTTGTGACCGTTGACGGTCATTATCGAGTCATTTATCACTGTCCTGTATCCCTTACCCTAGTAAATTTGTCCCGGAAATGGTAAGTCTTTATCTGGCAATCCTAATATTAGCTCTAAACACTACAAGGTTAGATGGCATGCATTTCCCCATTAAACTTATACAAGCTTAGCAGTTCGTTTAGGCTAGAAGAATTCTGCAGTAAATTCATATTACAGTAAAGTAAAAGTAAAACAAAATTGCATGCTCACAAAATCTTCTCCTGATTTTGATGAGTCTGTCTCGTAATTTGCACAAACCAATGAACCTATCTGTAAAGATAAAGTGGTTGTGGCATTATTTAGAATTTTGAATGATAATATACGAAATGGTGTAATATACAGTCATCATTGATAGCCACTCTAGCCTCTACGCCTTGGCAATCAGTGATAAATCATTCTCCGTTATTATTTACTTTATTACACATTGTTTGTTGTGACGTGAATACTTCGTTTTCATCTGAATAATCGGTTACATCTATTAACATTGTAAGGTTGTACACTGTTTTCAACATGACAGTATATTGAAGTGAAACAAGTTTTAAATATTGACAATATCACCTTGAGTGGATATTTTGGAAACCGTGAATTGCGGATCTTCAGAAGCAATACTGAATAAATCTGATAAATTTAGGTTCCAATTTTGTTTAGCCTCATTGAATGGATTTGTTGCATTGTGTTCACATATATTTATTTTATTTATCTATTTAGATACATCAACAGGTAGAACATTATTACATCAAATTGTATATTGTATTACCAGTCATGGTCTGATGTAATGCCCATTACAGAGATGCACAGCATTGACATGAGCAATAATAATATTTACTTAACACTAACACGGGTTATTGATTTAAAAAGAGATAAAAAAGAACAATAAAACGAAATTTGCCAGTTTACGCACAGTACTTGTACTCTAAGTCCCAGTATTAATAAGATCCAGATCCATGCATTTGAAACATTTTCTTACAGCAGATTTGGCGGTGGATGTTCGGGTTGGATAAATTTTTCGTAAAATCTTACAATTAGTACCATTCCACATTAAAAAAGAAAAGCTCTAAACATGACTTAGCATTATTTACTAATGCTCTTCAATTATTAACAGTACTACATTAATTTTGGGGGTTTCCTAGGTCTTGAATTTATAACATGAACATTATTATCAAAAGTTCTATTTTAGTTCTACTGTCCAATGGTTTACATAACTATTATAATTTTCAGCTGTCTGTAAAATGTCGAATGCCAGTGTCAGTCTAAAGTTCCAATCCGGGCTGAGCCCCTCAGACCCTGAGGAACACCCTGTCTTCATTGTGGGGCAGGCCCCCCATCTCAGCACATTGTCATGGAGTGATATCAGATGCAAGTTGGAGCCTAGAGTAACAGAGGAGGTGAGTTTTTCGACAATCTAATATCTCACACTCCTATACTAAAATATCGAGTTCCAAATAGTACAATTTTTGTGAAAATGGCAAAATGAATAAAATATAAACAAATCTAACTAGTATAGATAAAACGAATATTGTGTTATACAGTATTCAATGGCAATTTTTACCAGTAATAAATAGATGAACAGTTTTCCATCATCGGGGGACTAGGCGTGGGCTGTTGTCCACCCCTATGTTGTTGATATTCCAGGGATTCGCATGTAGCCTTTCGTTTCCATATTTATATGGTGAACTGTTACGGAATGTAATTCCTTGCCTGCAGACTTGTTCCCTGAACAGTATAACTTGGGCCTTTCTAAGTTGAGAGTGAATAGGCATTATTTAGATGTGCATGCTCCATTGTCAACCTCGTCATCACTTTCCATCAGGTGAGATGACGTTCAAATGTGCACTTTTTTTTTAATTAGCAAGTATTATATTATATTATCCACATAGGTGTACAATTTTTATTTCAGTCTTATTAATATTAAACGTAGATAATAACACAAGCCATGTTGTACGTGATAGGCATGGAAACGTGGGCTCAACTTGGTTACATCAAACGCTGGCGAGAGCTGTGAGATATGGGCTCGCGCAGCGTCACTGGCGTCGCTGCCGGCCCGCCGCAGCCGCCACGCCGCGCCTTCGCGAAGCCACGCACTTGCCAAACTCGTGTCTGCCAGGGCTGCTAGGAATTATGACGAATTTATTGTGGTATGCTATCCTATAACTGGTAATTTTTATTGTAAGGATAGTAGTGTAACTGTCAAGTTGACATAAACTATATTGTTATTGGTAGCTGGTGTGCCGCAAACGCGACCTCCTCGCCTGCACAGTGGCCATAGCGCGGTCCTTCCCTCTGTACCACGCGCGCTCCGGCCCCAGTCCTCTTGGCGGAGGGACCAAAAGCCCTCCCACTCGGAATGTCACTGTTGAGATACAACTCGTTAAAGAGGATAAGGCTGGTGAGTACTTTAGTTTCTGAAAATATTACCTTCATTTTCAAGTCCAAACATCGAAACAATTCGTATTTATAATACTACTCAAAATAGAGACCGATTGCAACATGTATATAGGTTGAAACAAAAAATTCGTACCCAGTCATCATTTATCAAGCTGGGTCTTCGAGATGCAGTCACAAATTTAGAAATTAAAGCCATAGGTACAACCTGGTGTATTACAGGGTCCCTGGATTGTTGTGCTGGTCTAAGTAAGAAGACCAGTCATGGCTCACTAGGTGGTGACAAATGGGATAAAAGATCTGTTTTTACCACTGGCGACAAATGGAATTTAAAATATCCAAGTAGTTGCCAGTGGATTCCACATATATCCAGGCCATCTGCGTCATTGTAAATAATGTCACCTGGTAACACACGGGTTTTTTTCCAATTTTGTCGTCAGTGGAAATCACCCCTGGCAACAAATGAGATTTTTTATCACGTTTGTCACCACCTGGTAACATATGGGTCTTTTTTCTCATATGTCGCGAGTAGGAACAAAACCAGTGGTGACAACTGGGAATAAGCAGAATGGAGACAGTTATTTATGCGGTTCCATACTCGTGAACAAGATAATGTCAGTGTCTTTAACAGTATCCTTTTCTTACTCACATCGAACGAGGCTAAGGCTAAATAATAATAACCAAATGTATTAGTAGACGATGACAATGTAACGCAGAACGATAGGGGTGGCATATTCACTATGTGAAAAACAAATATAAAATAATTCTTGGATTTTCCTGAACCAATTCACGGATTGCTAATTTTTAAATGTTTCTTTTGCCTTTGGTTGGCATCCATACATCCTCTATTTTCTCTCTTACAGATGGAGAATCAGAAGACGAAGGAATCGGTCCCCTGGACCCTCGGTTGACGGACAACTCACTGTCCCCCGAAGAGCTTGCCACTATTCAACAGACTGCTGATTACACACGGCTAGCAGCCAAGATAGCAGATACCCCATGCAACATTATGAATGTTGACACTTTTATTGAGGTCAGTATATGTTATTTACACGGAAGAAAAAAGAATGACTTTTAACCTGGATTACTATCAGAACCATTGTCCCCAAAACTACATAATAATGTTAAACACTATGAAATCTTGACAAGTCGTCGTAGTTGTTAATTTGAAAACGGTTCAACAAATTCTGGACTGTTAATATAATTTGAAATTTACCACATTGGCATACCTGAAATTTCTTTTGGATCAGTGCAACGTATATGATGTTGTGTAATATTTATTTATTTATTATTGATTGGGTATTCAAGATACGTACGTACTACGTATACGCGGGCACGTAGGCACCGAATTAGCTATGTAAAAAAATACAACACGTAAATCGAAAAAAATAAAAAAATCTCAATCCTTCAGATATGATCCTTATCAAACATTTAATGGCCAATGTCCAAAAACAATCTGAATTTCTTGTTACTTTACAACGATGTGTCAACTTATGTAGAATTACAATCTGGTACAGTACTTTATGTCATTACATTGATAAGTTAAAAATGATATTTTTAACTTATCAATGTAATTTTATTGCTATCCATTTTGTCACCCACATAATAGATAAATAAATAAATTTTTCAATTCTCCAACTCGGAAAGGCCTTCTTTCTCATTAGAAATCTGCCCGCGAAAGCGTTTTTTGCGCGCTAGCGTGGAAAAGGTTTTTGAAATTTGAACTTCACGATGCACTGTGTGGTGCATCTAACATTTTCTTTCGATAAAAAAAAGATAATGACACATTCTACTACGCGATTTGTTGAACATAATAATAGTAATAATAATAAAATAGTTTATTTAAGTAAAAATAAATATAAAGCTCTACACGGTATCAGAGAACAAGAAAGTAACGAGAATGGACACTCTCCGCCCCCTCCCAAGCTTTAGAAACCGCACCACGCCCCGCAATTTGACGGCCACATGGGCTGAACGACAACAAGGTTGTCGGCGAGTCGTTTTTGCGCTAATACGGCTTTGATATTTGAATATAATTTTCATTTATTCATTACGAAACTTGTACGTTAATATTTTGCATAATTGTACGTTACTATTTATAATGGTCGTGAATTATGTTGTGTACGGCTGTTTATCAACATCTAAACGGGGTAAAGAGAGGAGTTTCTTTCGTTTTCCGGCAGATGAAACGAAGTATAAGTAAAATGAAAATTATGTCTTACGCCGCCTCAAATTGCCTATCCTCTTTGTGGCGGCCATATTTACAGAAACATATTTAAACTTCATGTTTAGGCTGATGGCTTTGCCAAAGCCTTAATAAATTTAAAAAAAAATTAAAAATGTTGTGTTGAGAAGCGATATTTCGTCGGTTAAAAGGTAAAACTCATTAAGTGACATTTTGTTCAAAAACTAGATTTTTTCAATTTTGCTTTATTGGGAAGAACATCTATGACAAGAAAAATTCAGTAAGTCTGTGGTGTCCTTCATGTTTTAATACATACCAGTCCTTTAGTGATTTTTCATAATGAAAAAATACAAAATCTTAATTATCTCCCTTTGGCCAATTAGGCTATTAGTGAGTTTTACCTTTTAACCGACGATTTATTCATACAAGAAATAAAATGTGATGAAAAACATTATATGTAGCACGGGCGGTAAAAATTACAAACCTCGTGCCGTTAAAGCCCTCAGCCTTCGACTTCGAGCTTCTAACAAATTCTCGTTACTAATTTCTAATTTCTCGCCCACTAGTACTTCCATTTTTATTACCATGGATATCGTTAACCTTATCCAATTACCTTTCAGACTGCGATACAAGTAGCAAAAGACCTTGATATACAATCTCCGGTAGTAATCAGAGGAGAGGAATTAAAGGAACGAGGTTTCGGAGGCATTTACGGCGTAGGCAAGGCGGCTGAAGTGCCCCCCGCCCTAGTCTCGCTGTCGTACTGCCCACCGGGGGCCACGGAGTCCGTAGCCTGGGTCGGCAAGGGCATCGTCTACGACACCGGTGGACTCAGCATCAAGACCAAGGTGAGTCAGTTAACCCATACGTAAGATAGGCAACAAAGACAAAATCCCAATTTGTAGTAATAACCCTTATTTCGAAGATTTTAGATATAGGTCACTATTGTAGTAACTTTGTACACATGTCTGCGGACTTCTGTTAAACTTATGTTGAACTGCTTATGTAAATTGACACTGTGGAACTACACACAGCGGCACATTTAGCGGTACAAAAAAGTGAGAATAAAAAATAGTAACGTTTGCATAAATAATATGAACAAAATGCTTTTTTTTTTAATTTTGTGTTGTAGCAGAAACGGTTGAATTTAAAAGTGACAGTTTAATATTTATTTAATCAAAGCTTTTTCAAAAAATTTTCCAACTAAAGTTTACGGCATCCGATCGATTAACTAATATTAAGAAATGAATGAAAAAAAGGACAGTGGACTAATTTTTATTTGGATGATTTTCAGGTTAGTTTTGTCTAACTAATTTTGGTGGTAATTTTTATTATTTATCATGAAATATTAACGAAATACTTTCATAGATGGCGCTACGGCTAAAAAGTCGTTGAAAACCAAATACAAAGATCCGACAACAAGCACATAGAAAAATTCGTGAGGTCCGCTGGTTTGTTCTGCGGTTTAGTTGGCATAGCGTCTGGTACGGTTTGCTAGGACACGTCGGTTCGAATCCGGCCGGATCGTAGGAATTTTTTCTGAGTGTTCGATCTTTGTATTAATAATTATAACAAACTAGTAGAGTAATTTCACAAAAAATAATTGAATATCAATTAAGTACAAATTTAATATTAAATAATATTTCAGGTACACAACACACGAATATTAAGTAATGCTTCATGATAATATTGTAGAACATTAAAATAATAAAAATTGCCCCCGAAATTAGGCAGAGAAAAGTAGCCTGAAAATGATCCATTTGCAAATTGGACCTAAAATAAAAGACCGAAATCCCCAGACAGGCATGGTGGGCATGAAGGGCGACTGCGCGGGCGCGG